TTGTCTGAAAGGAGGCCGCAAGCTGCCGGGTAGCCAGAGCACGTTCTGGCGCGACTGTCACCCTCATTTGGGCCGAGTCGAAAACTGCTCCCAGGAACGATATCCTCTGGCTGGGAGACTAGAGCACTCTTGGCAAAATTGACCCTGAGCCCCAGGCATTCCAAGTGGCTGAGGAGAAAGGATCTGTGAGATAGTAGCTCGTCCTCCAACTGGGCTAAAATGAGCCAGTCCATCATGAGGAAGAGGAGGCACGTAGACGAGCCGAGTAGGGGGCACGCCACGACTTGGCGATTTCATCATGAACTTCCGGGAAGAATGGTGATGCTCGTTGACGAGGGGAACCATTCATCCAGGTGACTGCGAGTGTGCTTTTCTGGTGGAGACCACTCCAGTGCCAGCTCTTCCACAGCTTTGACAGGACGCGGATCAGTTCGCCGTCCATGCCTGGCTTGGGCTCGCTGTGGTCCGTAGTCGGCAGGGGGGCGGAGGCATTGATTGACCCCGACAGCTCCTCTGCGTCCGAAGCCAGTAACGACATGCTGTCGTCAAGTGCGTCGCACTCACTCCCACCAAACGAGACCAGATCGCCCGCAGCCGCGGAGGGATGCTGATCTGGCTGGGACAAGAGGACGGGGGATACCTCTCTATGTGGAGAGAGTGGGGCAGGCATGAACTTGCTCGTCTCCGGGCGCCGAGGTCCTCTGCCCTGCTGTTTTTTCCTCGCAGGCTCCTGGGAGGGCACGAGGGGCGGGGTCGCTTTCTGAGAAGAAAGCTGCCCACGAGCGCAGAGCGAAGAGACTCATATCCTCGCAGTAAGGACATTCCATCTCCTTCAGTGCATCCTCAGCGTGTGATCTCCCCAACTCGCTGAGGGCAGAAACTACGTTAATGCAGGACTGTCAGTCAGCGGCCGTGGGCGAGGCCTAAACATTGTGATGTCACAATGCTAAGAGAATCAAAACGGCATGCCTAATGAGACTGGTTTGCTTTAATGGGGATTAAAAAATAAGAAGTGGGTGAATTTTTATCATTCTAGGTTAGCTGTGTTCACACACTGCCAAAACACATTTACGTCTAAACACCAAGTAAAAGTGGATTTTGCATAATAGGTGCCCTTTAAAAGATAATAAAAAGGAATTGGGGAGAATAAATAAATGATGAATCATTTATTGCTATTGCGTAGATAATATGTAATCAAGTAATCAATAAAAAAATAGCTGTAGTCTGATTCCGAATATTTTAAAATGTAATTTAATATAATTACAAGTACTGAATTTTTGGAATCTTATTACATAATCCAGATTACGTGTAATCAATTACTACCCAGCTCTGGTAATGGAAAGTATAAGGCTTTTAGACACAGTGTGCACCATTGTAAAGACTAGGTTTATACCTCTCAGCCACATTTTCATCCAAGAAAAAATGTTGGCTACCCTGACTAAGGTCTATAAAACCCAAAACACATTTCAAAACATCCACAGAGATAAGAGGTGCATTTTCGGCTCTTCAGGTCCAAGCAACACTCTCCCCCACCCTTGAATTTATGTGAATAAAGTCAAGTCCCACCCTATAATTTTTCACATTCTAAAAGCTGTTTCACTCTGAAATATGTCACAATACATAAATCAAGTTAGCCATATTCTCATATTTTCACCTTTAAACTGCAGTGAAAAAAACATGGTTTGAAATCGGTTATCAGGTTATTACTGACTGATTAAATCAGTTATTAGTGATTGATTAAAGGGGTGGTTGATTGCGATTTCACTTTTTTAACATTAGTTAGTGTGTAATGTTGCTGTTTGAGCATAAACAATATCTGCAAAGTTACGAAGCTGAAAGTTCAATGCAAACGGAGATATCGTCTTTTAAAATTCTGGCAGTTTAATGCCTACAAAAACAGCTGGTAGGGACTACAACGAGCTACTTCCCGGGTTCGTGACATCACAAACCCAGATAAACCCCGCCCTCGGGAAGAGGCAGCAAAAGGGGCGAGGCCATGCTGCGCTGCTTTAGAGAAGAGGAAGAAAAAACTAGAGGTGCACATAAAAATCTATTCATATATGAATTGCGATTCTGTCTTCTAACGATTCTAATGGATTCACAAGTTTCAAAATCAATGTTCTAAAGCAGCGGTTCTTAATACTGTTCCTCGCGTCCTCTGCTCTGCGCACGCTCTGCATCTCTCTCTCTCTCTCTCTCTCTCTCGCTCTCATTCAGCTCAGCTCCAGCAATGAACTGTTACAATTATACACTTATTTTCACATAGCTATGACAAGCATTTAACATGGACACGCGTGCAGTTGCCGTACTGTATTAAAGCTTTAATCAGGATAAAACGTATATTAAAAGCTAACATAAGCAGTAGCATTTACAAATAACAGCATATCTAAAAGTATGAAACAACAACAAACAAAAAACATAGGCCTACCTTTAAAAGCTGTGCTTGCACAGGTTCTGCACGATCCTCTTCAATAATATCCTCTGCTTCTCAATCAAGCTCAAACTGATAAGCGATATTAACGACACCATTGTTTACAATACAACTGGAGCACATGTCTCTGAGGTGAGGGGCGGGACGTTCAGATGCACACTAGAGGCGGTTTAGCCAATCACACACTGGGCTAGCAAACCAAACAGAGCCCATCGCCTATTTCTGAGGGCGGGGCTTAAAAAAACAGGAAATGATCAGCCCCTTTCTCAGAGAAGGGACAGAGCGGTGTGGAATAAAGGTAAAGTATGTGAAAAATAATGCGTTTTTTTTTTTTAAACGAAGCATTAACACATGTTAGACTTTAGACGAAACCCCATAAACAAAATCAAGCCTAGAAAAAAAACAGTGAACCACCCCTTTAAATATAACACAATAATTATGAAGCTCAAATACCAACAGCATTAGTTTTAGTGTGATGTTAAACATTAAAGTAAAACTGTCTTTTTTATTTAAATATTGTTCCATATATAAATCTATTTCTCTTTTCATTCATCATATTTTGTTTTTGTACTGCTGCAGAATATTATTCACTATAAAATTATTAAAAGTGTTTTGCTTCATCAAACCAACATGAAGTGATTTTAAAGCTTTAATCTGTGAAAAACTCTTCTTCTTCAGGACTGTTTGCTGATACAGCTGTACTGAAGTCAGTGTCAGTGAAGGAGGGCGATTCAGTCACTCTAAACTCTGGTCGTACTGAAATAAGAAATGGTGATGTGATTCAGTGGTGGTTTTCGGTTAAAGACACTTTAATAGCTGAAATCAATGTAACGGCTGACAGATTCACTGTATATGATGATGTTCCTGACGAGAGATTCAGAGACAGACTGAAGCTGGACAAACAAACTGGATCTCTGACCATCACAAACATCAGAACTGAACATGCTGGACATTATGAAGTAGAGATCAACCATATTAGCAGAATTTTCCTTCTTGTTGTTTATGGTGAGTCAGATATTTGTTTCACCCATTTTATTTTAATATTGTAATCTCCAAGTACAACATTAATCCACACACCATTTTGCTTTTTTTTGTGTCTCTTGAATAGATATTATTATTAATTTCAAATGTAAATTTCAAACATGCTACTTTCATAAACAATCATAATGTTATTTAATAGTCTTAATCTGTGACAAACCCTCTTTCTGTTTGTTCTCTGTGTGTGTTTGATGATGCAGATGAAATATCAGTGATGAATCTGGAGAGAGATTCGGTCACTCTAAACTCAGGTTTTACTGAAATAATAGATGATGATCAGATTTGGTGGTGGTTTGGGAGTGAAAACGATTTAACAGCTGAAATGATTGCAATTAATAACAGATTCACTGTTCGTGATGATGTTCTTGACGGGAGATTCAGAGACAGACTGAAGCTGGACAAACAAACTGGATCTCAACATACAACTGAAAATATGATTGTTGATTAGATTTGTTCTTATCGTCATTCTCTTATGTTTTCAGCTCCTCTGCCTGTTCCTGTCATCAGCAGAGACTGTTCTTCATCATCATCATCATCATCACAGCAGAATTGTTCACTGGTGTGTTCAGTGGTGAATGTGGGTCATGTGACTCTCTCCTGGTACAAAGGAAACAGTTTATTGTCCAGCATCAGTGTGTCTGATCTCAGCATCAGTCTCTCTCTACCTCTGGAGGTGGAATATCAGGATAAAAACAGCTACAGCTGTGTGCTCAACAATCCCATCAGCAACCAGAC